GTGATGACCAGGTCCACCTGCCCCCAGTCGTCCAACACCCTCTCGGAGATCTCTTGGACATCGTGTACTCCCCGTTCTCCCACATCTGATCTGGGTACTCTTCCGCTAGCAGCTTGGCATGGTGCCGTGCCATTTTCCGTACCACCGGATCGCGCTCTACGTGGATCCACTGCTTGATAGTGCACCCTGCTCGTAACGCCGCAACCAGACCGCTCCCGATTCCTCCGTATAACTCCACTACGCGGAGGGACCCCTCTAGGGCCCATACGGGACTGACGCACTCTGACAGGGCGGGTGGGTCCTGTCCCGATGTCAGCTTCTCGATCGTCGTTCGTGTTCCTCCCCGTACCTCTCCCAGTGCCATTCATCTAGCTCCTCGGTCAGATCCTGTCTCTGCGCCTGATACGCTTCCCGCGGCTCCTGCCGAACGAACCGTACCAACAGCGTGCCTACGGAGCTCTCTGGGTCCCAGTACTGCACCCGGTACAAAACCTTCTCCTGCCAAGTGCATATGGTGGCTCCTACGCGGTAGAGGAGCTCCATCCCTACGAGGACATCATAGTCCTCGAATTCCGAGACCCCGCACTGCAGACGGATGCAGCACTCCTTCTCGGTCCCGGGTAGGAGCACCACTTCCACCGGTCTTCTCGTTTTTGTCATCCACTTGGGCTCCCCTCCTTCGGCGGTCATGAGTAGGATCCCCCTCTCTATGGTCTGGCCGGCCACATCCAACTTCAGCTGCTTGGCGAGTCCCTTTCCGATCAGCACATGGTGTGCGCCCGTATCGATGATGGCCTGCTTCACGGGTAGGCCTCCCACCGTACTACTTCCCTTCTCCGTTATCAACACCGACGCTTGGCACACTAGCCTTTCATTCGGGTGTCGACGCATGTCAGGATGCCTAGTCCGTTCTGTTTGGCTACTCCGTTGGCGAGGCCCGCTAGTAGCATCACTGTCTTGGGACTGGCTCGCTCTCAGTCGGAGTCGGAGGTCGTCTCGCGCCCTGGGATATGCCATCACTCCCGCTTGTAGTCCTCTTCCCCCTCCTCTTCGTCTTCCTTAATCTCTTCGTACGCCAGCAGCGCCCGAGCTTTCACCTCCTTCGGATTAGGTAACTGCTTCAGTCGCTGCTGTAGGCGACAGACCTCGGCTTGGAGCTCCTCCCTTGTTGCCCCCGACGCCTCTCTTGGCCAGCTGTAGCATTCTTCCTTCCGATGCCCTCGTTTCCCACATTGCTCGCAGATCGGCGCTTTAGGGCAATCCCGTTTCAAGTGCCCGTGCTCTCCGCAAGTGTGACAGATCCGAGGTTCCGCGCGGCTACCGCTCCCGAGGAATGTCTCCGGTACGGCCATTGCCGCCCAGCTCGTCTTCGCCCGGCTCCTCCCTTCTGAATCTACCAGATCTAGCAGTCGCTGCGCCTGTTCCGTCTTCTTCGCCAGCAGGTAGACCTCTTTGAGGGTGATGTCAGCGCCTACGCCGTAGACGGTGCTCCGCACCACCCCCCGTAGCTCGTCTTCCAGACCCCGTACGAACTTCCTCACGAGCAAGCGCTCGTCCTTGCTTTCCAGATCCTCAGCTAGTTCGCGGAGTCGGCAGTAATAGGCCAGCAGGGACTCGTCCTTCTTCCGCCTGAAGTCCCGAAACTCCTCGACGCGCGCCTTTGTCTGTCCGACGAACTCCTTTCGTAGCAGCTGAAGAAACAGGGCCGTAGGGTTGGAAATTTCTCCTTCCGCCAATTCTTCGAGGACCTCGTCGCGCGTCATGCGGTAGAACGTCTCCGCTCGCCCGCCAACGTTCCCGCCATTTTCCGGAAGAACTCCGCCGGGTCGTATCCATCGCGCTCCCAGCATTACTGCACGGTCTCGAGAGCTGCATGAGGTAATTCTTCAGACTTGGTCCCGCACCGGGAATGCCCGTGTAGCGTTCTGCTACCTCCACCTTTGGCAAGTTCGTCGCCTTCCAGCGTCCTCCCCGATTTCCGGATGCTTCATGCGGATCCCCGGGTACGTGCGTGACGCCGCTATACACCAGGGTCCCTCCTTGCCGCGCCTCCTCAGCCGGGCCCACGTTCGGTGTCCAACGCGGGTCGGGATCTCCCTTCTTAGTAGTCATCCCCGGCATCCCGGTCTGCGGGGTCGCTACCTCTTGGTTCCGCCACCGCGTTCGAACTTCCTCGGTCCATCGATGGTCTCGCGGCGTATCTCCCGGGTCCGAGACAGCCGTACGATCTCTGTCCATGTTGTCCGCAGCCGCGCGGGCTCGTTGATGGGGCGTCCGGTATATGGGTGAATTCGTTTCTGTGCGGGCCTGACCTGGCCGCCCACTCACGACGACAGCGTTGGCTCGCCACCCCGCAGTAGGCTTAAGTTCTCCAGTGTCGTTCCACAGTCGAGTTCGTACTAAATCTCGGCTGTTCATCGGCAGCTTTCCTTGCGTAATCGTTGTAAAGTCTCCAGCCCCTGGCCAAGACGGCTATTCAAACCCTAGCTCGGCAGGCTGAGATGGTTAGCGAACGTTCTCTTCAGTGCTTGCGCAGGTTGGCTCCTCGTGCTTAGCCACGTATGAATACGTAGAATGTTGTAAGCATAAGCGTGAAAACAATCACGCAAGCATATCCCTAAGCTTGCCTAATTCCTTAAGTACCAGCGGCGGGTTACCGTTGTACTGACGGTCCCCTTTCGCCCGCCAACTTCTCGTTTCTGTTTGTTCGCTTCGGCATTCAGCCGGTCCACCCTTATCCTGCCTACTGTATCCCCTGATTATCTTATAAGTCACGAATTTATATCGAAGGCACCTACGCAAAGATTAGAATCGTGACACAGGTTCAAGTCATGAGCTCCATTCACCATTCACCATAGCCCAAAACCGTGGTATATTTTCGATTTCTCCTATGAGCTAAGCCTAAGATACTCTAATTCTATTCATTCTAACATCTGAACCGGGGAGGAGGCGTCGAACACATTTGCCACTCGAAAGTGTTTGGGTTTGAATGGTCCCTGGTAAGTCACCTTGAACACTCCAACATGCTGGGGTCGAACATTTAGCAAAAACAAACTTGTTAGAGAGGCACACTGGGTTTGCTCCACCTGCGTGCTGCTCTGTCCACTGGGTGCTGCATGCCATGTGCGCATCACTGCTGGCACTCCTCCACTGCCCATGCTCTTTGCACACGCAAACATCTCTGCCCCCTTGCCCCGCCCTCTGCTTTTTGCATCTGTTTGCCACTCCGTGTTCGTCCCTGCTGCTGTACTTGTATTCTTTCTTTTGTTCCTCAACCACGAAACCTTGAATCCACATGTTTTTTTGTTCTAGAAAATCACATCTACCAGTAGTACACGGTCTTATCCTTTGCTTGCCTTTCTATAGCCCTTTCAAAACAGTTGATCCTGCTAAGTTCCAGCCACAATCTGCAGACCGGGGGGGGGGGGGGGGGAGAGGGGGGGGGGAAGGGTGGGGGGGGGTGGGGGAGGGGGGGGGGAAGGGGGGGGGGGGGGGGGGGGGGTGGGGGGAGGGGGGGGGGAAGGGGGGGGAGGGGGGTTTAAGGGGGGGGGGGGGGGGTGGGGGAGGGGGGGGGGAAGGGGGGGGGGGGAGGGGAGACTACTCTATGGTTAGATTTTTAGGAGGTTGACAAGAGTTAGAAGCTGGCATGTTGACATTTGTTAGATTCTCATATCTGAAATGGCTGTGCGCTGGGTTTGTTGGGAGCTTTAGAGTCAATGTGATGGAGTGAAGTTCGGTTGGAGAGGGGAAATTGGTTGGCTACTTATCGCTTGGTTGGGACGCGAGGTGGCATGCATTTTGATTTCAACTCGCCAAGATTTGCGTCAAAATCGCAGTCGTGGTTTCCCGCACCTTTTTTTATTCCCCAAGGTGACCAAAAAAATATATTAAAAAAACCAAGTGTCCAGTGTCTGCCGCCGTGTCAGGCGTCTAGCATAGCATCTCAACGTGATCGTCCGAGTGCTCAACACTCACTGGACAGAGCTACCAATCCAGCTTAGCTGCAAACACGGATTTGAGCCGCTCATCTTATTATCCCAACTTACTCAACCCAACACAGGGATCTCAGCAGTAACAGTTTTAAGGGCTCCATTCCTGACAGCATCTCTGCTCTCAATTCACTTACATACCTGTAAGCGGCACACTGGGTTTGCTCCACCTGCGTGCTGCTCAGCCCACTGGGTGCTGCATGCCATGTGCGCATCACTGCTGCACTCCTCCACTGCCCATGCACTCCGCATGCCCACTCCTTCCCCCCCCCCCCCACTCCCCCCTCTTCTGTCTGAATCGCTTAGCCATTCCTTGATTCTCCCTGCTGCACCAACCTACTTGTTGTATTTCGTTGCAGCCACGTTTTTATTGCATCGGCACAACTCTGCCACTAAACAGTCTCAACCTCTACTTTCAGTCAGTCCGCTACACTTGCTTGCTTTGGTCTAACCCCTAACTATTTATCCTTCCACGTTCGAGCCACCCTCTGTGGAAAGGGATTAGAGCCTGTCGTCTCATCGTGCCCAACTCACCCACCCACACAGGGATCTCAGCCTTAACGCTCTCACGGGCTCCATTCCCGACAGCATCTCTGCGCTCACGGCACTGACATACTTGTAAGCAGCACACTGGGTTTGCTCCACCTGCGTGCTGCTCTCTCCACTGGGTGCTTTGCTGCATGCCATGTGCGCATCACTGCTGTGCTGGCACTCCTCCACTGCCCATGCACTCTGCACGCCCACTCACCGCATCGTGTTGCCACCCCCTTCAATGTAAAGTGTTTTTGAGAATCTCAAAAACACTCCACTTACCACGTCGTGTTGCCACCCCCTCTTGCTTGCACCGCTCCGATCCGTCCATCGCATCGTGTTCCCACCCCCTTCGTTCCTCTCCACCAATCTTCCAACTGGTCTTTATCGATTTTTTTTATTCGATGGTTTCTGTTAGAATCATCCCTCCACTTTGGCCTTCCTCTGAATATTCCGGACTAATCATGCCCCTATGGACAGGGGTTTGTACGTAAACAAGTTCATCGGGCCTATTCCAACTACATTTGGGAGCCTTTCTCATTTGGAAACCCTGTAAGCTGGCTGGCATTCCTCGATTTCACATGAATGTGTACTGCTCGATGGCTGGCACTCTGCATTGCCCATCAGCCACCTGCTGCATTGCCCATCCATTTGTCCCATGCACAGTGTTCGAATTTGGGGATGTGTGAGACTGTCTGTGCTTTGATTTTGGTGCCTCAGCCAACTATTGTCAAAACAGGTCTTTGGATATAATTTTAAGCCGGGAAAAATACTTCAAAACTGTTTTTAATAAACAGGTGAGATAACGAGTCAAGTGAAACTTGACTCTTCTTTTAACCCATGAACTTTTCAATTCAGGTTGCCCCCTCCCCCCCCCCCCCCCCCCCCACCCTCCTGAAAAAACAAGACATTTCTAGTCGAGTAAAAATCAATGAGTAGAAATTGTTTGTCTAGAGAACATGCAGTTCAGCTTCAATCCTCCCAATTGTGCGAACTGCCAAGAGCAATATGTTAAGGGGAAATCATCATCCGAATATTCAAGAGAAAAAGGGTTATATTGTTGGAATGGCGGAAAAGTTGTTGGGGCAGTGTAAAATGATTATGATGCTCTTTTGTAACACAATGTTTGTGGTTTTTTTATCCCGCAGGAAATGTTGCCGACTTTGTGGTCCATACAAGGCTTGGTCTGAACGTCCACCCTAACTGATAAGAAGAAACTGACAATGGCCCTGTTTTAGTGACACGTTCGAACATTTTTTTTTTTTTTCAAATATTCCACGCCCTAAGGGGTGCAGTGGGGTGCGTTGGTTCTGAGGGTCAATATGACGACTGCCAGGGAACCCAACCCACCGTGCTTCCCCCTATACTATCTAGAAAACCCAAATCCAACACCAGCCAGCATGCCACATAGATTCTTCTTTTACTATCTAGGGAAACCCAACCACCAGCCAATAATCACCAACTCATCACACTTCACACGTGCTTGTCTAGGAATCTCAACGACCAGCCAAAACCTCAACGACCAGCCAAAACTCACCAACCCACAGCACGGCCACGATTTTTCTTGATCTACTACCCAAAGACTCTCCATATTCTGTTTCTAACGCTCAAACAAAGAGCCTAACTAAGCTTAAAAATCCAAAGGCAAGGCTGGTTTGGGAAGCAGTTAGTGTGACCTGATGGATTGGCTTAATAATAAGCTCCAGCCTCACATTTTTACCTGAACTTGAAACCGAGGAACTCGAGGCGCTCAGGTTTTCGTTTCGAACAGAGATTGAACCGGCCAAACAGTTTTGCCTATTCTAACCCGGCCAAACAGATCCGCCTCAATACAAAGGGCAATAAAGTAACTCTAGTTCGGTTCGAACAAAAAAAAAAAAAAAAAAAAAAAAAAAAATCCCTTAATCCAAACCAGGCTTTGGTATGCCTGCCCATGCCCCGTTGACAGCATGTGATTGTGTTTCTGCCTCCTGTCTAGTGCTCAAGTTGTCCAAGCATAAGTGTAGAGTCACATGGCAGTGCCACATACCAACCTCAAATCACATGCATATTCTCTCCTGTGTCGATCTTCCCACCTCCATTGCAGCAACACCACTGGCACGGGTCTCACTTGTCCTCCTACTGATAGCACCAGCTGCAGCCAAATCCATTCGCTATTCGCGGCCTTCTACCAGAATTGTCAAAACACCTATTCGACATGCCAAGCCAAGAACAATCGGGTCAATGGGGGCCAAAGAGCTGTGCCTGTTTGACTTCAGCCAAGGCGTGCTTGTGCTGTTGTGATGGTCATCACATTTTCTCTGCTTATCCGACATGATTGTGTTGTGTTGTGCTCGTGCAGCATCATCTGGAGGTGGAGGCGGCGGGGGTGTACCAATAGGAGCCATCATCGGCATTGCTGTTGCTGCTGTAGTCGTTCTCCTCCTGCTTCTGGCTGCCATGCTGCTCTGCTTCAGGCGCCAGAAGCAACGAAGTTCAAGAGGTACGAGCAGCGGGATTCCAGGGCTGAGATGTGCTGCATGTGCTCAGATGATCTGCTGCCCACCTCCACACCGCCTCAAAGCTCCGAGTTGAGACGTTCCTCTTCCTTTTCTGCACGATATGGACAGCGCGAGGGCTCTCTAATTGCCTCCTCGCCATTCACCCACCACCCGATGAGCAGGCCCGGGAACCAGCCTGGCAGCCTCGCATTGCACGGAGTTTTCATTGGAGGAGGTGCTCAAGGCCACCAACGACTGGTCGCAGGACAATCTGCTTGGCTCGGGTGCCTTTGGTGATGTCTACAAGGGCGTCTCTCCCCACGATGCCACCACACCGTGGGCTGTCAAGCGCACCAAGCTCGTAGCCGTGGACTTCCAGAAGGAGGTGAGCGCACTGTGCATGAGGAAAAAAAAAAAATTGGTTCTCCCTTACTTCCACAAAAGAAAGAAACTCAACCTAGAATAGCGCTACACATATTGTGATCTGTAAATCTCATTTTCCCTAGTTGAGCAAGAAGAAACAATGTTTTTCCTTCCCTGTTCAACCTGCTCTTTCTTTCTTTCTCCGGCTTCTTTTTCCCGCTCTTGTGTTCTGGTTCTCCAGGCCATGCAAATGGCTGACAAGAACCATCCCGACATTGTGCGACTGTTGGGGTTTGCAGTGGGAGGGGACGTCAGGTTTACGATTGAGCAAGTCCTGATTTACGAGTTTGTGCCCAGCGGTGACCTCCACAAGTGGATAGAACGTGTTCGTGTTCGCCCCTACACGAACACAGCCGTTTGCCGAACCGAACACTGTTCGGTTCGGCGAACACTTTGAGCAAAAACAGGTGTTCGCCGTTCTCCTGTGAAGGCGTGTTCAGGCGAACCTCGAACACGTTCGTGTTCGTCGCGGGGCAAATTGCAGCAGCGGCCCGAACACGAACGTGTTCGGGCGATTATCGAACATTGTTCGGCGAACACCTAAAGCCAGAAGACAAAACCTGTTCGGTTCGCCTCGAACGTGTTCGAGGCAAACCGAACAGGTGTTCGTTTTTTTTCTCAGCCCTAGGACCAAGTAAGTGTTAACGAATTATTGTTAAGCATTAACTTGAGCAGTGCCACTCATGGTAGGCCAGGCCACTCATGTTGTCCGCTTGATGCTTGCTGTGAAGCTCATCCCTTGGCTTTGACATTGTTGCAGACGCACCTGCTCCTCTGAGTCTCCAGCAGCGATTGGACATTCTCATTGGTGTTGCGCGTGGCTTTGAGGACCTCCACAGCTTTGACATTGCGCATCGCGACATCAAGCCCGCCAACATCCTCATCACCAATGACATGCAGGCAAGCGCGTGTGGTTGCACAAGGATGCACGGTAGCTTAATACTGTCAGGAAGCAATCAGTACTATAAATATGAGTCCCTCACATCTATCTCTAAATAAGTGCCAAATTTCATGCTCTTGCACCTTTCTTCCTCCATCACCTGTTCCCTTTTTGGTGCTAATTCGTACTATCATATCATTCGACCACTCACCAGGCCAAGATTGCAGACTTTAGGCTGGTGAGGGTGGGAGAGGGCACGACTGTAGGCACGACTCAAAACATGGGAACACCAGGCTATGTGGATCCGGTCTACTCCCGGACGTCTAAGGCCACCGCAGTTAGCAATGTCTACAGGCGAGTCAAGAGTCATATCACAATCGTGCCATGTCATCCAATGATCCTGGGAAATGTGTTTCATTTTTTAGTGGGGGGGGCATATATCCCCCTTAGAGCGAGCATACACATGTTTCATGGTGAGGGCTTCTAAAAGTAGGAACACTAGATACAGGTTTCAGCTTTTCTACCCTAGACAGTCAAACTACTTTTGCAAACCCTGTCTATGTTTCAAGTTCCGCAATCACACCTTCGCTTGCGTTGGCCAATCAAATTCCTTCACACATTTTGTAACCACGATTTGCCCTACTGTCTATCAACATTAGTAAGCTTGACCCGCGCGATCCGAACTTTGGGCTGCGGGCTTTGAGTGCTTAATCTGCATGGGTGTGCAGTTAGCATTTGAGTTTTTCAGACATAGATCAACCGATCCAGCCTAAATAGTTCGATACCCACCATCCTTCTCTTGCATATGTTATATCTCCTGATTTTTTTTTCTTTTTCAAGCCAGATCCAGTCGCTCACCATCAATCTCCTCGACAGTTTGTTTCACAAGCAGGGAATGGCCGTGATAATGTACATCATATGCATCACACCATCGTGTTTCTCTCATCGTCCCTCGCACGTTGCAGCTTTGGTGTGCTCATGCTTGTGGTGCTCACAGGACGCCCTCCAGTCTCTGAGGATGGTGGGGAGTCCAAGCAGATCACGTCGTGGGTAAGTTCCCCACAAACAGATTGCTGGATGTTGCTGATTGTTGCCGATTTGTTTTCTTTTTACCAACGCAAAGGTAACTGCGCTGATGGCTGACTGATTTGCGCTCGACTTTTTTCACACTTTCTGCAATTTGCTCTCCATCAGGCGTCCAACTGCCTGTCATTGAATGACATAGAGAGCCTCAAGGACCCGGGCTTGGAAGCCCCAAGGGATGCGGTGCAGCGCCTGGCTGAGCTGGCAGTGAGCTGCACCGTGGAGCGTAGTGCAAGCCGCCCAAGCATGGCGCACATTGCCACCCAGCTGCAGGCTGTCAGGGAGGAGGTGGCGGGGAAAAAGGAGTTGTGCGCCGCTATTAAGGTGGATGCGGAGGTCCAAGAGATGAAGGACGCTGTTGCGGGTGTGGAAAGTTTTGAGACACAACTTAGAATGATTGGGGATTAGCCCTCTGGATAGATATGCTAATAACTAGCAGTCACTCTTTCCGTAACGGTACTGAACACCACCCCGCCCGTATTTTCTATTAGTGATGTTTGGGACAGATAATCACAAATCTAATGGTAGTTGTTGCCATAATAGAAGGTTGTGTGCAGGTTGGGCAGAGAGAAGCTGAAGTAGACATAAGGTTGCTTTGGCAGCAAGCAAGCCAGCTGAACATGCACTTCCAAAAGTAGGGGTTGTATGCGAAATAGTAAACTCTAGTCAGGAAAAATGGTATGCACTATTAGAGCTTTACACACACTCTTCCCTCCCCACCATCTCCCTTTTCCTGCCACATTCCTCTCTCGGTCATCTGATTTAAGCCCAGCATTTCCCTCCCATATTTTCTCCCTTGCTACCTGCACATGCCGTATTCTCCCTGACAAAACCCCCCCCCCCCCCCCCCCCCCCGAATTGTACATCCCTGGGTAGCTTGTGCGGGGTGGGTGCTATAGCCGACCCCGTTTGTACTATAACCCCCCTTTTTGGGTGATTTTCTATAACACCCCCCTTTTCTTACAAATTCCTATTATAGCTGTTATCGAGTCGGATTCCTTACGGGAGGATATCGCGAGAATCCCTCCCTAGATGAAATTTCGCGTGTACTTTCACCTAGAATCTGCCGACATTTCCCCCCTCCCACAATCTCGCTGTCGCCACGCTGGCGAATCTTTCGCTGCAAACTGTGATGTTAAAACAACCATTGAAATACCCAAGTTGTCTAACTAAAAAATACTCTTGTTACGAATAGTAATTATTGAAACATTACTATGCACTCCTCACCGCAGCAAGTGAAGTTCAGACTACCGAGGATGAAGACGAACTGGCGGAAGTAATACGAAGGGTCGCACAGTTACGAAAGCATCTGGACCGTCGGGCAGACAGCATTAGGCAGCAGCAGCGGCAAGGATTCTGCCCGTACACTTTCGTAACCGTCTGGAGTCGCACGGTTGGATTTCGCTGTAATAAAGGAATGTACCCCTTAGAGTACATGGCTAGCTAGGTCGTTTTGCATTCCCCTTTACTCTTATTTATTTGTACTTGCATGTTTTTATTATCTCAAGCATTTACATTCACTCTGCTATTGAGGTCAAGGGCCCAACACCACAAAATCTATAGTGTGCAAACCTTCCAGAGGTGATCCTGGCAGCGATCAACACCTGATCGCAGCATGGTAGGAGAGCGACTCGGGAATCCTTCGCACTGCCAACTCCGAAATCTACGACGATCGAAAAGTGGCGTCCGGCACACGCTCCCGTGTAAGAATGGCCGGAGGATCTGGAGGTAAGACAAATCTGACGGCTGAAGCGCAGACCAACGCGGTTGCGACAAACGAGGAAACGACGACGATTGGAACCGCCATCCTCGCACAACTGCTTCAGCGACTCACGAGCTTGGAGCAAGAACTCCAAACATTGCAGAACGGCGACGCAGGAACACCTTTCCAACCCTCTCAACCGGCCTCGAATGGCCAGAACTCCGCCCCAGAGAACGCCTCGCCTTCTACACCGACAAGACTGAAGAGCGACGGCCGCGACGCCTCTACTACAAAATCTACAGAAACTTTGGACACCTAGCAGATCGATGCAAATTCCGATCTCGCCCTCGCCAGACCAACCCGAGCACTTGGTCCGGCTGTCAAGACGCACAAAACGACACGCGTCTCGCCCAGGGGTATCAACCCCCATCGCGCAACCTGAACCCAACAGTTCAGCACCAGCAGCAGCAGCCGTCACAGACTGCTCCCGTGCGTAACGTCATAGGGAACATGACAATGACAAGCGGATCACGTCGTCCACGCGAAAGCTTACCAACACCTGAGCCGGCACCTCACCCAATCGGAGTGTTCTCGAACAACAACCCGTTCAGCACGCTTCACGACTTCAGAGACGGCGACAAACAAGACTGGAACCTTCCAGTCCCGCTGCTTGAAAGCCCTCCGCACGTACCTGATATGCGGCCGGCACCAATCGATTGGATCGCGCGCGAACAATTTCTCAAGGTCGACACACCGCACATCGTTACCCCGCGATTGGCGCTGCTCGCGCGTAACGACAACAGGCGCTACAACACGTGGTACCTGGATAGCTGTTGTGGGCAGCACATGGTGGGCTCTGAGCGCTACATATCCAACGCCAACCCCACCCCCGCCGTGACCTACGTCACCGTGGTGAACAACATACGCCTGCGCGCGCGCAAGGAATCGTGGTGCTCAAGGCACACGGGAGCAGGACGCACATCACGTTGAATGATGTGCTGATCGTCCAGAATCTGCGCTTCAATCTTCTCTCGACGGCGCAATTCATAGATTGCGGAGTTGTCCTCAGCACCGACCCCGAGGCGCGCGACATCCTGCTCCACTACGCCCCGCAAAACAAGGCGCGCAAGCAGATCGGAAGAGCGCACTCCGAAAATAGAGTTTACATCCTCGACTTTGATATTCCCGACTGCAGCGGCGACTCGCAAGAGCTCATCGACCTCGTCCCCCTGCGCTTCGAACACATTCATCGCCGCGACTGGAAGAATCCTGACTGACGCCTCTGTGTGGCGCATCACCCACATCCGCGCGAACTGGCGCTGCACAACCCTGCTCCGGACGGGACCTGCAGGGACTGCCACACACCAACATCCTCGACGAGCGCGATCGCCGGTCGTGGCCTCGCCCCCATAGCAGAAGCAGAACGTGAAGCACCGCCTGAGAAAGGCATGTCTAACCTGGAGTTAGAAATCGCGACACGCGTCGTCTTCGGCACGCCAGATCATCCCCTCCCTGGACTTGCGTCTCAACATCTTCACGGCATGCTGCGCAGCGTTGGCGTCGGCATACCGCGACCTTACACCAAGGAAAATGCAGCAGAGATATTCTCTTACTGTCGCGACTTGAAGAAGCAGCTCACCGTGGCGGAAGAAGAAGAGTTGGCGCGACGCGAAGCGGAGGAGCTTCGTAAAAAAAGTCTCGCCAAGTCGCGCAGTACACTTGCCTGGGAAGAAGAAGAGCAGAGCACCTCCAATGAAGGGGGGTGGGGAAGCGCTGGCAGATGGGGCACAAGCGACACTGGCGGATGGGGAGCCGCAACCGGTGGCAACGTCGGCGGCTAGGGAGCTGCTACTGGCGGAAACAACGGTGGATGGGGCGCCGCATCCGGCGGCGAAACAAGCGGCTGGTGTGAGGATCTGGTTCAGGAAAGATAAATCTATTGAATGATTCACCTGGGTACAACACGAGGCTATATATAGGCTCGACACAAGGCAAGTAACCCAGGTGTCACGCGAATTTTCTGACGGTCGCGAAGCGTCCCGAACAGAACCTTCCCGAACTCAGTAGAAAGCAATTCGGTGGGAACCGAATAGGATTGAGTTCGGTACACGTAACCTGGTTCGGTGCTATAACTATAATAACATATAGGAATGCACATAACCTACGAAATCAAGCATGAGCAAGCAAAACAAAATATATCTAAGCTAGTAATAATATAATAAAGTCCAGGCAAGCTAGCAAAGCCAGCATAAGCTGTCGTACTCTCACACGTCCCCCCCTAAAAGCTGGGTGGCGTTTGAAACACCCTGCTTGACAAGGTAGTCCTTGAGAGCACGGCGTGCGTTGCCCATATCAGCTTTTGCAACCCAACTGTCCTCCGATGGGTCATATCCCTTCCAGCGCATCAGGAACTCGAGCGTGTTGCCGCGTCTGCGTCAATGAGCAAGAACTTTTTCAACCTCGTACTCTGGTTCATCCTGTATGAGAACAGGTGGTGTTGGTGGTAGCTGGCGTCCCCGGAACTGTTGGTTGGGGTCCTTGTAGGGCGTTAGTAGCTGAACATGGAAAGCGTTGTGAAGCTTCCACGTAGTAGGTAAGCGCAAGCGGAATGGTACTGGTGTCACCTGTGCCTCAACGCAAAAAGGACCACAGAAGCGAGGCCGGAACTTGGATGGTAGGTGAGACAGGTTCAAGTTGCGCATGTCAAGAAGCACCTGATCTCCGACTGCTACTGTGTCGTTACGTCGCTGGCGATCGACATACTGCTTCTGGGAGTTCTGCATCATGGTGAGACGTCGCCGAGTCTTCTCCCATGGATCATGCATGGTGGTGGCGAAGTCATGTGCGGCTTGGACGTGTGCCGGTGTGGTTGGCTGCTATGGTGTAAGTAGTTCTCGTCCGTAACACAGGAAGAAAGGAGTTTTCTCTGTGGCCACATGTGACGCGTTGTTGTAAGCAAACTCTACAGTCGGTAACTGTGTGTCCCAGTGGCTGACATCGTCTTTGCAAGTTGTGCGCAGTAACTGTTCAACCACTTGATTGAGTCGCTCTATCTGTCCATTAGTCTGGGGGTGGTATGCTGAAGACATTGCAAGCTTTGTTCCCAACAGTCCCATGAGCTCCTTCCAGAAGTTACTAGTGAACTTAAGGTCTCTGTCTGGATCCTGTAGGATTAGTACTGGCGTTGTAGTCAGTGCTGTCTGTAACTGCTCCATGGCTTGCTGTTGAGGAGTTTCCCATTTATACGGCGTATCCTTTTTCAGTAGGTTGGTCATTGACGCTGCTATCTTAGCATACTGCAGCACGAACCTGCTTTAGTAGTTGGCGAAGCCTAGGAACTGCTGCAATTCCTTCACGCTCTCCGATACATTACACTTTTTAACGGCTTCGATCTTCCGCGGGTCCACGTGTACGCCCTCGGCACTCACCATGTGCCCAAGAAACTGCACCTTCTTCAGGGCGAAGTCGCTCTTCGACAGCTTCACGTAAAAATTGTTCTCCCGCAGGATCTCGAAGACTTTCCGCAGATGCTCCACATGCTTCTTCATGTTCTTGGAGTAGATGAGTATGTCGTCCAGGTACACCACTACGCACTCCTCCAGCAGGGGTCTTAGGATGTGGTTCATCTCCGATTGGAACGTCGCCGGTGCGTTGCAGAGTCCCAACGGCATCACTAAGTACTCGTAGGAGCCGTATCTGGTACGGA